AAAGGTAAAAGAGGAACACCAGACCAGATATATGATCAATATTTATTTGAAATAATCACGAACGGCGATTTTTCATGGGCGCCGCCGTTTTGGTTTCGATCGCATATTCTACAGTACAGATGAAGCTAAATGATAATAGTAATATTAGCCGTTTCGTTATTATTATTTTAAAAAAATCATTTCGGCCCTTGCAAGGCAACAAAGCCACTAACACGCAGGGGGTTATTGAGTGCGAAAAAATATAAGAAAAATATTATTAAGGAGCGAAAACAATAAAAGAACAGGAATTAAGAAAATAGAAGATAAGGATTGGCGTTGTATTTAAATTTTTGAGGATCAAATTTGACTGGTAAGCAAGAAGAGAGTTTCGCAAGCGAGAAGTGCGAGAGAAGAAACTGTTAGCATAGAACTTACGGTTGCATGTAGACATTTCAACTGAGACCTTGCCGCTAATAAGTACTACATTTAAATTCGTCAACAATGTCACTACTGCATTGTTATACCATTTTTACCTTGCTGTGCTGGCCTGTTTAAGGACCCCCACCAAAAAATATTAAATTGATTATTTTACTGGAAATAAATGACTATAAAGTCGTTGACTTCTCATGGGCGCCGCCGGTTTGGTTTTGTTCGGATAATCTGCAGTACAGACTAAGCTAAATGACAATGTAATGTTAGCCGTTTCCTTATAAGAAAACATTCGAAATTCATTGACTGATCAGTTTGTACTACTGTCAGAATAAATACTTCTGACTTCAATCACAGTATCTGTGCACTCTGAAAATTTGTAGACATACACGTGTATATGGTGTGCCAGGTATTTGCGAACATGCCTTCAGTGATCAGTAAATGGAAGATGACCTAAGCTAATGCTACGTGGCACGTGCCAAATTTTATTTGTTTATTTATTTTTAATTAAATGGGTAAACTTGAATATGGAACAGGATTTGACAGCAATTACTCCCGAAATCAACATTACGTAGTTTCCTTATTTTTTCGTCAGTTTATTTTCAAGAATAGTGTTTAATTATTATCAAATTTTGGCAAAAAGATCTTTTTCTTGAAGAATATGTACGATGGAACGCGAAATAGTAGATATGGCTACGATGAATGGTTTATATTGCAAGAATTGGCACACTAAAATTAGTTCTCATAATTCTCACAGAGAAGGAAGCAAATGATTTTTCGCCCCTTAGCTAGTTTTCCCTTGGCAACAGAACCAGGTAGGTGTGTAAAGGATGCAGAAAGCAATTATCTCCCTTTGGGTAGAACGCTTTGATGAGAGTCACGTGGCGGCCGCTGAGTGACGTCAGCTTGTGAGTTGACGAACCCCAGCTGCTATGTAGGCCGCGAGAAAGTAAGACGCCATAAATCCACCAATCAAGTTAGGTGATATATTCAATAAAAACTATTTAACATCCTAAAGAATGCTGCTACCTTTCCTAACACTCTTGCGGTCTAAATCGGGAACAGGGTCGGTATTCCAGCCACATGCTAAAGTTATCAATCTAAAATGGTATCAGAATGTTCTAAAAAGAAAAATAAGTTTCCGATCTTTGAAACAAAACGCTTTCTTCTTTATAGTAACATCAGACCGGATCTGTGAAATGAAGTGAACAGGTTGCATCGAAGAGCGACTTACGAGCTAAGATACAGGTCTCGAATGACAATTCTAAATATATTCTGAGAAAAGATGAAAGACGCAAGACAGCGTTGTCATTTGCAGTAAGATGAGTTTCTTCTGTACAGAAAATATCTGTACAAATATCTATGCAGGGAGTATCTGTGCAGCAAATATCTGTACAGTAAATAGCTATAAAAAGAGCTGTACTGCAAATATCTGTACAAATATATGTAGAGGAAATAACTGTAGAGCACATATCTGTGCAAATATCAAATATCTGTACAGCAAATATCTGTACAGTAAATATTTGTAGAGGAAATAGCTGTAAAAATACCTGCACAGCAAATATCTGTACAAATATCTGTACAGCAAATATCTGTACAGCAAATATCTGTACAGCAAATATCTGTACAGCAAATAGCTGTAAAAATACTGCACAGTAAATATCTGTACGGAAAATATCTGTACAAATATATGTACAGTAAATATTTGTAGAGGAAACAACTGTAAAAATACATGCACAGCAAATATCTGCACAAATATCGGTACAGTAAATATTTGTAGAGGAAATAGCTGTAAAAATATCTGCACAGCAAATGTCTGTACAAATATCTGTAGAGGAAATAATTGTAGAGCAAATATCTGTACACAAAATATCTGTAGAGCAAATATCTGTACAGCAAATGTCTGTACAAATATCTGTAGAGGAAATAACTGTAGAGCAAATATCTGTACACAAAATATCTGTAGAGCAAATATCTGTACAGCAAATGTCTGTACAAATATCTGTAGAGGAAATAACTGTAGAGAAAATATCTGTACACAAAATATCTGTAGAGCAAATATCTGTACAGCAAATGTCTGTACAAATATCTGTAGAGGAAATAACTGTAGAGCAAATATCTGTACACAAAATATCTGTACAGCAAATATCTGTACACAAAATATACTGTACAGCAAATACCTGTACAGAGAATAGCAGTACAAATATCCATACAGGGAGTATCTGTACAGCAAATATCTGTACAATACATATCTGTACAACAGAGATCTGTACAGTATATATATGTACAAATTTCTGTACAGGAAATGTCCACACCCAAGCACTGAATGTCGCGAATGATCGTAGTAGATTTAGACACCTGCTTCGGCCCTCAATCTAACTAGCTAACCAAAATGATATACAGTAAATTGCAGAAAACAAGTCGAGCTCAAGATTTTTAGCTCAAAATTCTGCGTTAAGCCTATACCTACCGTATAGGTCGACTTCCAAGCATACGGTAGGCTACCAGGGGCTCCAAAATTAGACCTACCGGTAAATGATGTTAGGCTACAGTATACAACAACCAAAACTACATAAGGTCGCACCACTATATTGAGACACTAAGCGTATATGCATTGTATACCAAACAACGGTGGGTATCGTATATTGTTCCAATATTACTTAGCAAACATTTAAAATTTGTCAGGTCTACTGATAAAAACATTAAAGTCAATATCAACTCCTATAAAATATTAATGTCTGTTCTGTAATGTTAATAGAATACTGAATTTGTGTTGCTATTTTATTATTTTATATTAATTTGGCTGTTAATATCCCAAATATGTTCATCAAAGCTAAGTTTTCGCGTGATATATTTGTGGCAGCCTGCTGGAGGTATGTTATTTGGTGTACAGTAATTGTTAGGAGTGCTGTCCGCACAAGAGGTATCGTAAGTGGTGTACAGTAATTGTTAGGAGTGCTGTCCCACTAGAGATATGGTAAGTGGTGTACAGTAATTGTTAGGAGTGATGTCCCACTAGAGGTATGGCAAGTGGTTTACAGTAATTGTTAGGAGTGCTGTCCCACTTGTTTATAACTCACTGGTAAAGGTTTGCATTTTATACCCGCCATATAAGTCGGCAATAGGCTTGAAAACTCGACTTGCACGCCGAAATTTGCGGTAATTGGTTTATCGGTGTTGTTCCGCTGTTACAATTATTTTTTAATCGTATTTAACCCATAGAAGGCAGTAAAGTAACCAAGACACAAGGGGTTACAAGATGTGAAAGAATTAGAAAGCAGAAACATTATGAAGGAGCGAGAACAATAGAAGAGCAATCAAGAATATTGTACATAACGATTGACATTGCATTTAAATTTTTGAAGCCGGAAGAGAGATTCCATAATCGAGAAGTCTGAGAGAAGAAACTGTTAGCATAGAACTTACGGTTACAGCTAGCCATTTCAGCTGTGAATTGATGAAACCTTGCTGCCAGTCTTGTACTGCGCTTAAATTCATAAATTCTAGGTACAGGGTAAATATCATCTGAATAATTACAAATATACAGGGACAAGGGCACAACGGCCTGTCGCTTAGCTCCTTGGAGTATCTCAGTTTTAATGATCCTATCTTGGGACACCCTCCCCCGATGTCTATAAGAAATGTTAGTTTTCTCGCCTTATAAAGGTATGATGCTTCCTCCCCAAAGTTTCAAAATTTGTTTCAGTTCTTCTCTTCTGTAATATTCCCAATGATTTGGTTGCCACTTCCAGCATTGTCTACTCCAGTGGTTCATACCCGTCGCGCTGAAATATTGTCTCCACGAAAACATCGACTATTGTTTTCCGTCAATGAGCACAGAAAAGCATAATTGGATTCGAAATTCCTTCATAGATGTTCTTTCTAATATTGAACTTCGGTTATGTGAAGAAGAAGGATTCACCACCATTTCTAGTGATCGAGGGCTCAAAATAAAACATTCGACGGTAGCCATTTATACATTCTGGATTTCAATATAAAAGGAACACCCCCACATTAGCTAAAAAGACTTCATTTTTATTGCAGTTTTCTACTTCTTATTTATGTGGGTGAGGCTTCTCTACCCTAAATAACAGCAAAAATAAGAAGCGCGAAAGAGTGCGCTTTGCTGAAGAAGAAATGAGAGTCTGTTTATCGCAAATTCAAAATAACATTGAAAAAATAGTGAAAACATCGACTATTATTTTCCGTCAAAGAGCACCGAAAAATATGATTGGATTCGAAATTCCTTCATAGATGTTCCTTCTTATACTGAACTTCGGTTATGTGAAGAAGAAGAATTGGCCACCATTTCTAGTGATCGAGGGCTCAAAATAAAACATTCGACGGTAGCAATTGATACATTCTGGATTTTAATATAAAATTAATATACCACTTTAGCTAAAAAGGCTTTAACAGTTTTATTGCAATTTTCTACTTCTTATTTATGTGAATTAGGCTTCTTTACCCTAAATAACACCAAAAATAAGAAACGAGGAAGAATCCGCCTGATTAGTACCTAGATGAGTGACTGCTTGGGAATAGCAGGTGCTGTAATCTTGGATGTGTGAGTTTTGTAATGCACTTACAGTTAAACCACATTGAAACATTGGTCCCTGTTCGATCAGCGAAGTTAAGCAACATCGAGTTTGGTCAGTACATAGATGGGTGACCGCTTGGGAATACCAGGTGCTGTAAGTTTGGATATGTGGGTAATGTAATGGGCTTACGGTCATATCACATTGAAACATTGGTTCCGTACGCTCAGCGAAGTTAAGCAACATTGAGTCTGGTCAGTACATAGATGGGTGACCGCTTGAGAATACCAGGTGCTGTAAGTTTGGATATGTGGGTGATGTAATGGCCTTACGGTCATATCACGTTGAAACATTGGTTCCCGTACGCTCAGCGAAGTTAAGCAATGTCGAGTCTGGTCAGTGCCTAGATGGGTGACAGCTTGAGAATACCATGTGCTGTAAGTTTGGATGTGCGGCTGGTGTAATGGATAATGGCTCGGAATTGTTAATCGGAGAGCAGAGTTCCAATTCCAGTTGGTTTCGTTATATTTACTTATGCGCAAATACTCTTGGGAAGGGCATGTAACCATATCTTCTCCTCCCAGCTATGTTTTTTTTTAATTAAGACTTGTATCACTAAAACCATTATTATTTATATATATATATATATATATATATATATATATATATATATATTTTTTCAGGCCTTAAATAACCTGCAAAGGGTTGATGAGCTGTAAAATTGAATCAATTTAGGATCTCCTTTGTTTTCGAGCAGTTGTTTCTCCTCAGAAATCCTGATGCAGGAAACTTTTTGTCTGTTTGTGTTGGGTAGAGGGGAGGAGGAAGAAGAGAAGAGGATGAGGAAGGGGAAGAGAGAGATCAGGTGGAACCGGAGAGCGTGATTTTATGTAAAAGAAAATAGATGGCAAACGCAGTCTGTTTCAAGTGTAAACTAATTTGGAGCCTTTATTCTTAACATCAGTTCATTATATCAATAATCTACTTTGCCAAATATTATTTCGTTCAACTTCGTCATATTTTTTTTTTGAAGAAGAAGAAGAAGAACATAAATTATTTGGAAAATCGATGGAAACGTTCTTGGAACAGTTAAGCATGAAGAAAATGTTTTTCGTAGAAATTTTCTTTTTCAAGTCACAGAAAAACTGATATAACAAAATGAAATCCAATCAACTATCATCTAAAAAAAATAGAAAGGACATGAGAGTAATAGCTCTCCACATCTTCCCGTCTATTGTCCCTTTCAGCAGTACTTTATCCCTTACGACTGACCTTTCTTTTTGTGCTACTTGTTCTTCCACCCATTTGCTGAAATTTATCGGGAAGGTTATTTACTGTTTTCTTCCATTTTCAGTATGCCCTGTGAGTATTAAATTCTCCAAGCTTTCTTTCTTCGTTATATGTCTCCCACCAAATAAAATACAACTCTGAAATTTTATTTAATAATTTTTTCCCTTCTCAATAAGAATAGATAGGTCCGTCTTTTGCCCGGTTCACGCACCGACTTGTTCTTTTGAACAGGAGTAGAGGTTTATTCCTGGTTTAAGATTGGATTTCCGTTCTTTTTGTTCTTTTTCAATCATAGTAACCTCTTGCGTCTTATTGGCATTATCGCCTTGCTTGGGGTAAATAGCCTCTTCCTAATTATCATCATTTTCTTTGTAGTTACTAGATTCTTCGGAACTTCCTTATCTTGTGATTAGGAAGCTAGATACCTAATCTTGGAGGGCGTGTAAAGCCCCAATGAGGCTTGACCGTGGTTGACGAACATTCAAATCTACAAAGAGAACTGGGGTGGGGATTGAATTAGCGTTTAATGAATATTATAATTAAATTATTGCTGAAAAAGAACTAAAAAGTTAATGAGTTTTGAGAAATTATTGATTGATTCGTTTTCTACGGCTAATCAACTCTTTGCGGGTTATTTACAGGGTGTGATGGGTAAATTGTCGCCATTTTATATTTTTTAATTTCGCGCATGCGCGTTGTTTGTTTTTTATTTTTATTTTGTCGACTGCACAGTATAGTAGGGTCAATTGGGCACTGTCTGTGAGAAAAAGATCACCATGCTGCAATTTACTCCGACAGAAATTTGGAAACGGAATACTGTACTGCTTGGCATTCACGCCGGAAGCTCCAATACGAACATTTCAGAGTGTTTCTATGCAAAGGATTGGGAAAGAGTTGGATGAGTCTAATGGTGATTACGAAAGTGTTTGGAGTGATCTCTAGTGATGGCAACGTTATGCCTCTATTTATCTTCCCACAGGGTCTCAGACTCACAAGGGGGCCTACATCATTATTATCTAAAAACAATCTTAAAATCTAAAAATATTTTCTGGCTTTAAATAACCTTAAAAATTTGTCAAGCCGTAGAAAACAAATCGATAAAAAATAAAACGTAAATTAAATTGTACATCCTTGACGACAAGATGGCGTGAGAAAGATACAAGCGCGGGAAACAGGCGCAAGGAGAAAGTTCTAGTTGCAATGTAAATAGTGTAAATAATTACAATACCTTATCTCAGAAATATAGACAGATCCTGAAGAAGGCTGTAGTGTACAATGGTTGAAACACCATAAATATGACAATAAAGATGAGGACAACAGTCCGAACAATGTAAATAGTGTAAATAGTTACAATACCTTATCTCATAAATATAGCCAAATATATGGGTGCTACGATAGTATACGGTCTACCACGGCATCAAACACTATAGCATGCGGTCTAACTCATTTACTACTATAGTATAGAGTCTACCGCGTTATAGCGTATACCAGATTGTTCTCTCGTAGAAATGCGAGTGCTGTTTCCTCGATCAAGATGACATGTCTATAAAATCTTTCAGCAACATTTCAATCTGAAGGAAGTTTTCCCGCTGATGTCAAAGGTTTCAGACCTACAGGGATTTTGATATGGGAACTCCATTTTCTTCCTTTTATGTGGTCAGGACATACGAGAGGTGAAGTGAGGTGATGGTAGAATTCATCGTGGTAGACCGTAGGTGCACGGTACGAGAGGTGAGGTGAGGTCACGGTATAATTCCTAGTGTGGTAGACCGGGTGTCATAGTAGCACCAATATATGTATGTCTATGTATAACATTTTTGTATGATATACTTTTATATTCTAGCGTTGTATATAAAATGTTTTCAGACACAATTCGTTTTTTAATCGAATTCACCCCATGTAAGACAGTAAAGCCACTAAAACAAGAGTGTTTACTGGGTGTCGAAGAATTAAAAAACAGAAACATTATTGAAGAGCGAGAACAATAGAAAAGCAATCAGGAAGAGTGTAGATAATGATTGACATTACATTTAAATTTTTGAAAATCCAACTTGCCTGGAAAGCAAGGAGCCAGGAGAGAGTTTCACAAGCGAGAAATGTAAGAGAAGAAACTCCTTTCATAGAACTTGCGCTTACATCTAGCCAATTAAACTGTAAACCGATAGGACCTTGTTGTTGTTAATCTAATACTGCGCTTAAATTCATGAAGGCTAGGTACAGAATAGATAGCAAACAGCTCACCCGAACAATTACCATGAAAGGATTTATTGAAAAGCCACAGGGAAGTTTTTTGGAATTACTTTGTGTGAGTTATTCTCGTCCTTCCATCCGTTGTATTAAGGTGTTAGTATATCGCGGATATACTAATGCCTAATGTGGGCCTTGGAGGTTATTTAAAACTCCCCATGTGTTATTTAAACTTTATAACTGTCCAAATCTCTCTGATAAAGAATTAATATCTCCGTCGAGTATTACATCTAATATTTGTGGGATTTTTTTATTTCATTTTATTTATTATTTACACATTTTTCCTTTTTGTTCGGAAGATCCCAAATAGCATGACGGCATGATGACAACCCGGGCGACTGCTCAAGTTACCAGTACCTTGAGCCGGCCTTGCTCGTGTCTCCAATAGCCAGATAATAAATAATACTCGTTTTTTTTTGTTTTTTTTGCACATCTTGCCGTTATCTCATTTTCTACGAGAATTTTTGTATATATAAATGTTAAGGGGTTTATAATTATTTACCCGGAGTTACCTTCACTATAATAATGTAACGAGAGCATGCTATTAGAAAAATGGCAAAGTTGTACAATAAACACTGCGAGCAGAAATAGCTTTTTTTCTTCATTTTTTCCCCTATTACTATATATTAGGCACACCAAATCATAAATTAAAAAAAGAAAAGAAAAATTGTTTAAATTATTACATTTTTATATTCTAATAAATCACGTAGTATTTTATTTTTGCTTTGTAAGGGGAACAATTTAAAATGTCATTACATAGTAAATTGGACCATCTATTAATTTTTCTAAAATTTTATTAAAATTTTATTTTCGTATCCGTGATATGGAGTGCTTAATTTATCGCAGGGGTGGTCAAACCGCAACTCGTGAGCCACAAGCCGCTCTTTTACATTTAATATAGTCCAGGGGTGGCAAAACTGCAACTCGTGAGCCACAAGCCGCTCTTTTACATTTAATATAGTCCAGGGGTGGCAAAACTGCAACTCGTGAGCCACAAGCCGCTCTTTACATTTAATATAGTCCAGGGTGGCAAAACTGCAACTCGTGAGCCACAAGCCGCTCTTTTTACATTTAATATAGTCCAGGGGTGGCAAACTGCAACTCGTGAGTCACATGCGACTCTTTTACCTTTGATATCGTCCAGGGGTGGCAAAACTGCAACTCGTGAGCCACAAGCCGCTCTTTTACATTTAATATAGTCCAGGGGTGGCAAAACTGCAACTCGTGAGCCACAAGCCGCTCTTTTACATTTAATATAGTCCAGGGGTGGCAAAACTGCAACTCGTGAGCCACAAGCCGCTCTTTTACATTTAATATAGTCCAGGGGTGGCAAAACTGCAACTCGTGAGTCACATGCGACTCTTTTACCTTTAATATAGTCCAGGGGTGGCCAAACCGCAACTCACAACCTAAATGCGGCTCTTTGGCCCTTAATATAGTGTAGTGTTGGCCAAACCGCAACTCGCTAGCCACATACGGCTATTTTATCTTTAATATAGTGCAGTGGTGGCTAAACCGCAAATCGCGAACCAAATGCAACTCTTTGACCTTTAATATGTGACCTGTGGGAATATCTTGGCTGTGCATCTTTTTCCATCACATTTAATATAAAAGGTAAGTAAGAAAAAAAATCAAGCTTTGCAATTATTTAATGGGTATGAATTGAGACCCCATTGGATTAACACGTGAGTTTAATATTAATGTAACAACAACGTGTGTGTAAATTTTGTTCATGTCTTGCGACTATCAAACATCTGAAGATTATAGTTTGTAGCTCTTACATTAAGCACGTTTGGCTGCCCCTGATTTATATTTGTAGAAAAAAAATACCATAAAAATGCTTTCTTGTTGCATTGCATCAGTCGTACAACTTCGCCCTTCTGGGTTTTTATTTCCAAAGAATA